CAGATGCATGGTTATTGTCCACCTGGAAAGGTCCCAAAGTGATAGCCAGAAATCTGCCACCACCACCCCTTCTGCTGTTCCTGCCATCATATTTAATTGTGTTTGCTCAACTTGGAGCCAAACTCATATGCAGTATATTTAGATGGTTAAAACAGCACAGCACTCCACTGTATTCAGAGATTATTTTCAACACCACAATTCTTGGGAATTAGTCTGGAATAAATAAGGTAACAAGGAAAGGAGCAGCATAAATTTGTTCCAGTGACAAAGAAAACAATATCAAAATGGCAATCTGGAGATCCGCCACGAATGAAAGAATAGAGTGTACCTTTTGGTTCACTCTCCTGAAAATGTAATTACCATCTCATTCTCTACTCTGGATTTATTTTAAAGTGGGTGACAATGAAATCAAGAAATAAAAAGAAAGAAACTGTGAAAAGTGCCTTTATTATTCCAAAAGATCAATGTATAATTACTGCATTTATTCTCATAGAGTATTATAGGTAAAAGCATACAATTGATACATACGTTGATTTTCTGGACCTCTTAAGGACTCTTTATTTTCTACAATAGCAAACTTCTACAGTTGAAACACATATGTCATTAATATATATTCAATATCTCTTTTCTCATATCTTAGCTACTGTACTTCTTCAAATACTTCTAAAACTACTCATAACTAATTTACAAAGGTTTGGTTGGATGTTTTTGTCAGATAACTCCTCTAACTTTTTTATCTTCCATTTTTTAGATCATTTAACAAATGTAAACCCTATCAACTAAATGTCAAAAGACTTACAAATCAAGGGTAAAACACAGACTTTGTTGTTGGCAAGGTTATGGTTTGTGTGGATTCAATGGTTCAATCAATTAAAAAAAGACCAGTTTCCTGTTCTAATCTGAACCTAATTTTACATCATCATTGTCACCATCATCATCATCATCACAGGCATCTTAAACATAAAGAATTTATCTTGATTTTCATGTAAATTTTGAAAATGTAGAGAATAAACATGCATTCAGATAATTTTTTACTTGTGATTTTCTAGAGTACCTACAGGACTAGTAATCAAACATCATATATAAAGAACACCTACTCTATCTATGCTCACTTTTCAGGTTCAACTTTCTCTTTAAATTCTTATTTCTCATTCATAAATTAAGTAATTCAATAAATATTACTTAGAGCCTATTATGTGTGCAGTGCTGTTCTAGGCATCCAAGACACAGTCAGAATAGGAGGCAAGGCACTAATCTTGTGGAGTTTATGTTCTACCATAGGGGGCAAGATTAAAACAAAATGTAGAAATTAAGATTTTAGATAGTTTCTTGGTTACTTTTCTCTCATTGCTAAGACAAAATACCCAACACTCAAAATTAAGGAAGGAAAGGTTTATTTAGCTTACAGTTTGCAGAGGTTTCAGTCTATAATCATCTGGCTTCAAGGCAGGGTGGCAGGGCACAGGGGCAACACCTCAAGGCAGTGCAAGACAGCAAAAGCAGCAAGAGCAAAAGAGGGGGCTCTTGTCCCTCCTTATACTGTATGCCAGTTATCCACCCACGCTCACACCATCTCCGTGCCCTCCTTTTGCACAGGCTCATGAGGTAGAACTGCTGAGTCACTTAGCCAAGCTCAGACTCCTCAAGTTGACACAGTGTATCAACCATAATAATACCGATATCTTAGCTAAGAAATCACACAGTAGAATACAATGCCAGAGTGACGGGTGAGCCATGTTAGATGATGACAAGAAAAGATCACTTCCAGGAGGAAATATGTACCCTAGATAGACAATATGGTACAGGTCATGTGAAGAGCTGAAGAGCTAAAGAAACTTCAAGTACCAAGATACTAAAATAGGAAAGGACCTAGAGAATCCAAAGAACATGAAGAAGGCGACTTACTTACAGCATCATGAATGGGAGGGAGGTGTTTTGAGATGAGGCCAGTAGCCAGCAGAGGGCATATCCCTGCCAAAGACTCAAGCAACCACTTTAAGAATTTCTCAGCCTTTGCAGTCAGCACCCAACCAGCTGGTGGAACAAAAGCTGGTCCTGCTTCAGATACAGATGTGGATGGCACTGCAAATGTCCTCTTCCAGGTTTCTGAACTGTCTCTCAACTATTCATCTCTGATGTCTTTATTTTCTGAGTGGCTTACTTGACCTTTTGAACACGCTCTTGCTGATTTTCTCACAGTATTCAAGGCCCCTGCAACTGCTGTCCGGGCTCTGACTGGATACTTGCCTGAGCCTCGCTATAGGTTGAGGCCTAAAGTCTATATAAACTGTGGTTTGAGGACTGGACCTGACCGCAGATCCTTCATGGGCTTTACCATGTCCTTACCCAGAGCTAACACTATTACGATGTTACTACTTTTCTGAGTACGCACTGTGTTTTCAACTTTCAAAAATACTTCCAAATACTTTAACAGTCTTGATTGTGTCAATAATTTCTACAAAGTAGCTGTATGATTATCATTGTCTCATTTTAAAAATAACAAAATCTAAAGTCAAAGGTACCCTCTTGAGCCCTGAGGAATCCTGCATTCCTATCTCTATCTTGTTTTCAGAGTGAGGAAGGTTTGCTTAACTCCAGGCATCCTGAGATGAAGCCCACAGATGGTCTGTTTTGGTGTAGAAGTTGAAGACCAGACACAAAGGAAGTGAAGAGGTGGTCAGAAAGGATTCTTTTCTCCTGAACTTTTCATACTGGTGTTTTTGAGCTTATTTTCCTTTGTAACGTTCTACCATCACACAACCATCATGGCCCCATTCACACATCTAAGCTATAACATAGGGTATATTAGCAGAAATATATTACCAAGAAATAGCGCCAAAAGAGAACAAGTGACTTGGTCAACTGATGTGTTTGGGAGAAAGAACCACATGTATTCAGCTGAGCTGCTGCCGTCTTCCCTTCAGCTTTGCCTAACCTCAAAGACCAAGGCTGTAGGTAAGAAGCTATGCAGCTGTCATTCTGAAAACTCAGTATTCTGCAGTCTCATTTTCAAATATGCATCTTTCAGATAACTATGTTGTCAAAAAATTCAATGAATTATTTTTAAAAAGTCAGTAGTTTCAGGTAAGTCCAAACAAGAGAATATCTTAGAGAAAAAAAAAAAAGGACATTTCCTTACAGGTTCAATATTAATCAAAACTCATAAATAACACTCTTAAAATAAGTGGGGAAGTGATAGAAGAGATTATGAACTCTCAGGGGTCTTTCATCCTGCAAAGGTAGCTCAGCTAAGTTCACTGTAGCTCACAGTGTGTGCTAGGTTGCAGTAGAATACTTTTCATACCATTCTTTAAAACTCTAAGGTTGTTATGAAGATGAGACTCTAGCTGTTTCTATTAAAAATTCATGACCCCTTTCCAAGAGAACTGTTTTGACCTGCTATTTCTGGCTAAATTTGCAGGAGTTCTTTTTCTATCACTCACTACTGCACCTATCTCAGGAAATAGACTTTAATAGCTGGAGACCCAACTGAAGTATACCTAAAGCCATTAAACAAGAATAACATAATGCAAATCTGGTTAAAGGACACATTCCCTTAGCATGAACTTTATACAGCACAAATGCAGTAAGTTTTGAAGGACATGTTATCCCTAGAGTACCACTTAATAGATTAAAAAGAGCAAGTCACAGAGCAGAGTATAATACTCTACATAATGTCAAAACTTTCCAAACAGCAAGGAAAAATACTTATTTTTATGAGTTTGTTTTCAGACCATACTTAATATTGTATACACATCAGAGTATCTGGCCTCTCTATCAAACTGACCTCTGACCTTTGCTAACAACTTTGGAATAGGATAGGAGCACCTCAGAGGTACATTGTGCACAGATGGGATGCATACTGGGTCACTGCTACCAGGTGTGGTTAGTTTGCTAGGAGTAAGATTCTGCCCTTAATGAGGAAGGTTCTAGATTGTCCTACTTTGTCCACGATGGGTAAATAAACATAATTCAGTGTTGAAATATTAGGAATACCATTTTGGCCACTTGATTAAGCTACAGTTTTTATTGGTGATAAAGCCACCCTTTTTTAAGCCCTCCAATCAGGGAAATACTGTACTTTTTCTCTCATAGATTATTTTCTTATAAGCACCCATATTTCTCAAGGGTAATGTGACAATTCTACTATGATGTGAATACTTTCAGGAGAAAAATGAAACTCTATTTTTGCAAAAAGTTTGAAAATATATCATAAAGATCATACAGGGAATAATTCCACTACATCGGTATCAACAAAAGACAAACACTAAAAGGAGTCGTATATATCTGTATACACACACACATATATTTGAAAATGTAACATTTGCTAAGTTTGCTTTTGCAAATGTGTACCTTATAGTGCTCACTGAAAACCTAAAGTCACATAAAAACATGTTAATTGATCCAGAATAGAAAGAAAATATGTGTACTTTGGTGCAAAATAAATTACAAGTCTAGGTTCCCAAGCTATCTTGTTGCATTGCATTGTGTGTGTGTAAAATAGTATGCAAGTGTCAGTAGAGCAACATAGTGCCAGGATGACTGGCTGAAAAGTAAAGAAGTCGATTCTGACAGTTTTACTTATGTTTCCCCTGACTAGTCTAGTTGATTTGGTTTGGCATTTTGCATGCATTCATTAAATTGTTGTAAACAAAGGTATACTATGATGATATTCAAGTCAATCACTTGTGGTGTTTATAACAGTGAACTATTAAATACACAAAAAAATATTAGAAATTGAAATTAAAAGCAACTAATTTTATCTGTGAGCCAAATTTTGCAAATGTTCACTGATGAAAAAAAAAAAGAATTTTGGAAGTATACTCCTATTTTTAGCTTTTTTTTTTAATTTGTGAGACTGGAGAGAAGGAAAATAAGAAATTCCTCTGCTGATAAAATGCATTTTATCTTTTTCCAAAAATCACATACACACCCAATCACAAACACATGCACACGCACACACACACACCCCAGAGCACAAAGATCCTCAATCTTATTACCTGTTTTTGAGCAGTACATTGAAGGTCATCTTATCCAGTCCCAGATAATTTGGCAGCAACTTTGACCAATTCCAGTCCCATTTCATGATGGCTGACTGTTGATAAATGAGAAGACACTATTGTTAGTTATTAATCAGAGTTAATATGATTGGTAAATTAAAGCTCCAGCTGTGATAGACTAACTAAGAAGGAGGGGGGCCCCGAACAAGGACTTAGACAGATAACATCAATCATGTCCACAGAAGAAGGTTTTTATTCCAATAAGACAGCAATTAATTTATAAATCCATTTGGGGATGTAGTCATTACTTATAAAAATATAAATCAATTCCTTGAGACATTATTCTTCCAAATCTTAATGGCGTTTTCCCAACAAGTTCCTCTGAGAGGGTGACTCTTCAAAAAACAAAGCACAATAATTACCAACTTTCTCATGTATCAACTTACAGGGGTTTTTAAACACCCTAAAGTTTGATGTAAAAAAAAAAACTTGGAAATGTTAAGACTCAAATTGTAAAACACAGCTTAATTAGTGTGATAATACTAATGGTAAGAAAATGTTTTTTTAAAGGGAGATTATAGGGATCTGCAAGTATAAACAACATGATTCTGCTTTATCATTAATTGATAGTTTCATGACAGAGTTAGGATAAAAACTACTGTGGGAAAAAAACCCTCATAATTCAGAACCCGATAAAACATGCCGTTTATTTAAACAACATAAGGATAATTTAATAGCTACAAGAATTATTTATGGATTAGAGCAAGCTAAAATACAATGCAGGAAGGCAGCCAATAAACCCTAACTTATATTTGGTTTTTAAAAATGATATTTTTGTGCCTTAACACTAAATAGTTGGGATAATAAGAGTCCAGGCTGATGTTTAAAATCCAACAAGAGCTCTCCGCTGTCACCTGCTGATTAATCGAGCACCAGAGTCCTGTCATAGAGCAGGAGAATTCTGCCCTGCATTGTCAGCATTGAAGGTCTTACTCCACTACAGTATTGATGAATGTAGACGAGAGGTGTAACAGGCATGGTAAAAATATTATCTGCATGCCAGATTAGGCCATTGTTTTAATTCTTATTTTCTTCAGAACTCGAGGTCAAGCAATTCTTCTCTTCTGCCCTGCTAATTCAAATTGTCTGTCAAGAAGTTTCTGGAACAAGCCACCGAAAGAACGAACAAAGCAAAAGCAACTGTAGATTTAAAATACTTGGGTAGAAAGATGATCTTTTTAATGTAATTACTGAAATATGCAGCTTAAACAATAGTACAGTTTGACATTTTTAAATGCATAGCATTTATCATATTGCCTTTATTTCAAATATCCTGGCTTTAAGGTCACTAGTATGTTCATTTTAAATTTGGGAATGTGTCTAGGGTCATAAATAGCAAATTTATCTCCTGTCACTTAAAATAGAAGCTCACACTCTATTTGTAATTCACCTTAAACTGTCTTTTAATTTACCTGATACATCCATAAAGATTGCAAGATATTTTATCTAATGTGTTGGGAAATCAGGGGTGACCGCAGAGGGAAAGAATGGTACAAAATTCTTTGGTTCACTGGGCCTCTCATGCCCAGCCTCTGCTCAGAGCAAACTGCACTAGTCAAAGTTAAGTTTCATGGGCCAAATGTATGAATCAGCTTGACAAATAGAAGGCAAAATAACTTTTAAATGTCAATTTGTGTAAACTACATGAATAAGAATAAGGATATTTGTTACCCATTTCCCCCTACCAAAATTATGAGCAAATATTAAAAATATACAGTATTTTTTTCTTACTAGTGTTGCAAATCCATATATTAAAATTAAATTTACCACTTAATTCCCACATACCTGATCTAGCATGTTTTCTCTAAAACCCTCATACACATGGAAAGGGTTAAAGACAGAAGGCTGATCTTCCACACTCTGCACGGTCATCTTCAAAGGTCGAGTGGGTAATGGCTTTTCCTCTGAACCATTCATAGAAAACAGCTGTTCTTTTAAGTATTCCTTCAGGGAAAAAAATTACGAGTCATGATGGTGCGAAGCATATATTCTCTATAAAAATAAACTGATCAATATCCAAAATTGACCCTTTTGTATTGGTTGCCTCAGGAAGAATTCATTTTCGGAAGATACATAGGAGAGTACCAATCACCACTGCAATAAATTCATCAAAAATAGGTTTAATTAACATATACTATGGATTTAAAGACCATTTAACACACATTCCTGTAATGAATAAACGCTTGATATGTCAGAGTCTGGTTAACCAGCGTTGTCTTATCATTGGTTCATGTGTTACCATGTCTGTTTACCAAAACTTAACTCGGGTACACAATTATGCACAGTACAAGATTACTCATCCATTTATTAAGTGCAGTTTCTTCCTACTTCAGGATCAGCAGAGCATTAAGTGTTCTGATATTTTAATACAAGTAGCCTCATTCTAAAGAAAATTATTTGTGATGCAAGCTCCTAAACACCATTTCCACGCTGTGAAACTGAGAAATATCAGGGCTCAAAAGAAGCCCAAAATATGTAATTCTAACCCTCCCAGATGTCAGGGCAGTCCCTGTGGGAAAAAGGACAAGCTATTGCACCACACCTCATTTCCAACCTATAAATAAACAGAGTCAAAATTTTAATCTATTTTATGGACCTCTTTTTGGAAGACCACATATTACAATGACTATCTACCATCACCTAACAAATGCGCAGTATTCATAAATGACTTATTTATAAATAAGTCAAGTAGAGGTTCTTCTGCCTTTTAATTTGTCACAATACAATTTTTTTTCCTTCAAGACTAGAGTTTGGACAAAGTTCAGAATGTTAGAGCAGAATAGGACTTCACAGATCACCTAAAGCCTGCACTTCTCCAAGTCTAGTCACAGACCCTCAGAGTCAGCCTTGCATGGAAATTTGTTAAGAAAACAGAGTCCCAGCCCCCATTAAGCCAGGGATTCCCAGGGCTGTACTCTTTGGTTGGCTATGAAAGGTCAGGAGACAAGCCTGAGGTCACACAGTGGTGAGTGGTCAAGTTAAAGGGAGAAGCCACAGCTCTGCTATCAGTTCTTTTCCCTGTGCCCTATAAGCATATGAATGCGTGGCCATTGTGGACGGCAAATTTCAGACCCTAAAACCCTAAATATACAAAGAAACCACTACTAATATTAATACTAATAGACATATCTTAAACTTGTTCATTGTAGAGCATGTTTGGAAATATTCTGCAATATCTGGTAGACTGACACATGCAAATTCTTACTAAATATTATTAGATAATGATAAAGGTACCAGAAAAGAATTTTATTCCTAGATTTAGAGTACTGAACTGAAACAAAATATTTCTGCATCATGATTTATAAAGCTAAATTTAAAAAATAAACTACTCTCTTCACTGAAAAAAACACTCTTTGTTCTGGTCAATAATTTTTTAAACTCATTTCCCCTTACATAAGTATATTTTGACTTTTATTGTTTCCATAATTTAAAAAGTGTTCTGTTGCAAGCTGTAAACAAAATGGTATTTTTCCTTTGTTAAGCTCCTTGCTATGGTAAGAGTCATTAGTACTTCTTAAAGAAACAAATTCTTCTGTGTGACATTGTTTTCATCCGCTATAAAAAGTGCTATTTCTTTAGGATATTTCCATTCTGTCTTGAACGCTGTCTCTGTACAGGCATATCAAAGCTTAATGCATTTCTGCATCATGACTTTTGTCTTATCTTCACTGAACTGTTCCACCTGGCCGATGAGCTCACTGAAGACTACCGAGTCTATAACCATGGCCTCTCTCATCTGTGCTCCTAGCTAGGGTGTCTCTTATCATTGTGCTTTTTTGTTCAGATTTTTTTATTCATCTCAAAGACAAATCTTTAAGCCAGATTTTCCCCACAATTTCTGTCTCTATCAATGACACATCCATTCTTCCTCACCTATGCCATAAATACTTCTAAACCTATGTAACATTTCTGACTAATATTTAGCAGCACATGTAAAGGTGATGTACAACTCATCCAGGGAGCAAGCATCACAGTCAGCTGCACCTATGGCATACCAATGCCTCATATATAAAAGCAGCCATAAGTACTGTACTGGACACTTAACCACCCTTTCATTGCTTGAGTTTATTGCCTGTGTTTCTAATAGTCACCAGGCAAAAGTCCACTGCTTGCTTTGCTTTGTGTCACCCAGCATTATCCTTCTGACCTTGCTGTACATGCCTCACTGAGCAGAATAAACAGGTAGATACTTAGGTCAATTCCTGTCTGATAGACACTCCCATAATAGTAAATATATTCATGTGTAGAAGGAGAAAAATCATAATTTTGAGTTTAACTGATCAAATTTTGGTGATATCCCAGTGAAGATACAGCAGCCTTCTTGTTCACAGCCGCAGCCCCAGGGTCACATGAGTTCTCTGGGGGAAGAATGCACTGGGGGACTGATGGCCAATAAAGACACAACTTAATCTTTGATGACTTTGTTTGCTGGTAAAACTGATCTTTTCTATAGGTTTGTCAGCTCACAAAAGCTGTTCATATCCTCAGAAGTGTTGTGACATCAATTTACGGAGGCCCTGATGATAATCATACTGCCTCTGCTATTTATCAACAGTCACCATATTAACTCTGGCCCATCCAGGTGGCCAAGGGGACATACCATGGATGGCAATGACTCCGCAAGGGAGATGCTTCACTGGGCCACCGCCAAGAGTTCCTTGGTTCCACAAACAGAAATCTCACTCAGGCTATGGGGGATCTTTAACAAGCGTGCACAGGCCAAGTCTCTGTAGCAATTATACATTGAGCTCCTTGAGCTCTGGTGCTTTAGAGACAGTGTCACATTTCACATCAGTTTATCATTGAATACAGTGAAATGTCACCTATTTATTGACTGTTGAGTAACTCTATGAAATCCAGGAATCAAGATTTATTTGAAATAACTCTCAGACCAGTAACAGCAGAGAGAACATTGATATAACTGAGTTGTAAAATGCTGTCATAGACTTTAATTCGCTCTTTGGAAAGGTATCATTTTTAAGCCCTATACCATTGACAAAACACTATCTTCATGTTATTAATATTATACAATTTTTACTATCCCACAAATTATATTTATGTGTTTCCAAACATAAACATAATTACTGATGAAACATTCTAATTCAGATACCTATGATCAAAATGAAAACCTGGTTAAGTTAACAAATATATATTAGTTTAATAGCTGAAATAACCTGCTTGTTTATGTTTTTTGTTAGAATAGCCCAAACCATGCAGGGTCAGAGGCTAAACAGAGCAGAGAGATGGACAAGCATAACATCGCTTTTCACCAGTGTCTGTGCATTAATGAATTTCCCTCGGTTAATCTGGCTGATCTCCGATCTGGCTGGCTCAATATTCTTGTGAAGGTTTTCATTACAAGGAATCTCTGACTTCACCAACATAAGAATAATGTCTTCAGGAAAATGGTTCTGTCTCTTCAGAAAATTCTTCATTTCCACAATACCAGATTTTAACATCAGCTTAATGGTCACAAACACACAATTCCCAAACTACACCTCTATTCTCTACAGTTCAGAACTGAACTGAATTTATGAGCCGTGTTATTGTTTAAATCATACAAATAAAACCTACATTGTTTCAGTGAAGCTTTTTCTGTACAAATGCAGAACAGCCGGGGCTGAATAGATTCTATTAATAATGTGATATTGAGTTTGGTATTGACTTTTAAGAAGTATTATCACCTCCTTCACTAACCCTTAGCTGCCAGCAGACGCTGCCTCAGGCCAGTACACACCTAATTGCTCGGTAAAAAGACTGTTTCCCTACCTCATTGAGCTGCATGATGTGATAAATTTGCCTCAGGTACTTGCTGCCACCTGGTTTGTGGCAGAGATCCAGGACCATCGTGTTGATTTTCTGCTCAGTCAGTTCAAGAGAAGTATCTCCTTCTTCTAAGACTGTGCTTTTCTCCATTGCCACAAATGCGCTAAGTACAAAGAAAGCACATACATATCAGTGGTGAAGAATTATAAAATAATCAGAGAGATCGAGTGTGGAAAGTTGATGTAAATCTCGTATTCAAAGCACCATACAGATTTCACTCAAGTAGGTGAGCTTTCCACGGCTCCTCTTGCTCACACAAACAGCAGCACCTTAGAATTAAGCACCTGAAAGCATTTTAAAAAATGGAATCATTTCTTTTAAAACATTTCTTTATTGCATTTATACTCCCATCTATAAAAACATTTTCTCATTACTGCAGTTGTTGAAATTGCTATAATCGTGGGGTGAAAACAAAACATTTCTTTTTAAGAATGTGTGAGAAATGATTTGTAATTTCTCTTTGAGGATAAAAAGTATCTTTGGTGCCAGAAATAGCTTTGGTATTCTGTCTTTTGTAGAGTCCTCTTTACACCTGTCTTAGAACACATTAAAGACCAATTAAAGTGTCAAAAGGGGGAACTTATGATGCTAAACATAGCTTGTGTGCTTCACGGCAGTGTGTTCACCACTGGGTATTTTAAATTGGCCTTTGAAACTTGTTGCCTTTGAATATATATATATATGCCCTGTCTCCTCCTCTGTTACAGATACTTAGCAAAAGTCGCTACCCAGGTTATTCTTTGAGAAAAAGATTAACCATACCTACCATAATAACCTACCATCACCACCCCATGAATCCTGAAGATACAGTCCTGAAATATTTCTTTTCAAATAATCCATATGCTATTCTTGGTTTTGAATATGTTCTTTACATGCTAATAATGGGTGATATAAAAACTTTTAAACATCTCAGACCATACCACTGTAAGAAAAAATTATCATTGTCCTGGATACCATAGAAACTCCACGCTGATTTTTCTGGTCATGCTTGCTATTGGATCATGTTAGGCTTACAATCAAGTATTCTTAGGAAAACTCATGGTTTTCCACTGTTTCCCAGATGAAATGAAATTTACTGTGGTGTAATCAGCTGTATACTGCAGTTCATTACTGAGATTTCGCCATGATTATAAAATTAGTTCTGCTCAGAGTCAGTGTCGCTGACCTGAAGAGTGAACCAAATGATACCCAGCTGCTGGACATTAACTTGGATATTGCTTCCACATGTAGCTTCAAAATATCTTTGAAAAAAAATTTAAGATCCTATAAGCCCTGCTAGAACTCATAATAATAAAGTGAACCCCACTTTTAGACATACTCATCAGCTACAGTAAATCTTGTTATGAAAAAGATCCTGTTATAAAAAGAGAAGTTTGCCTGGATCTTGTTGAGGGTGTGTACAGGTTGCAAGCAAAATTTCCTGTCAAGCTTTGTAGAGGCTGACATTGAAAAAGTTGAGGCTCTCTGACAAAGGAGTATCTCAGTGTCAGCCCCTGAATTGTATCCTTTCCTGTCCATCACTGTGCAGGTGAAGCAAATGATTGGATTCAGTCAATGCCATGATTAATGAGTTCCTCTCTGGATTTGGGACTGCCTATCAATCATGTCATTAGGGAGAATGTGCCCTGAAAGAGGCAGACCTTAGCCAAGGAATAACTGCATTAATCTTAATCTGTATATGCACCCAGCCAGCCACGTCAGGGTCACCATGATGAAAAACAATAATCTTCAACTCGACAAATTACTTTGCAAAGACAGACATTCCTCTACTTTTTGGGCTGCGTGTTCTCCAGAATCTAAGTCGACTGTTTACAGCCTGTGAGTTACTACAAAGTGAAGGTTATTTTAATGAATAGTAATGCTTGCAGGGCAGGATGTGGGACAGGCAATGCTTACAGCTACCACCTTTTCAAGTGACTGCAGTTACTTTCACCATTTCCATAAAATCAAACAAATCTGCATGCAGGGGAAAGAAATTTAGCTGAAGGATGCCATGCAGTTCCAAAATAATCTTGAGGAATTAAGATTTGACTTATTTTAACAGAAAAACTGTATTGGTACAAATGCTGACATAACACTATTTTTTAAAACTCTATGGGAAAGCCTAAGTAACTCTCTACCTAATACAGACATCATAAATTGAAACACATTCTCCTTACACTGCAGAGCTATGAATTAATGATCACCAATTCATGAAAAATATTTAGATGCAGAATTTCATGTGTGTATCAGATAATCAATTTGAAAGCAAAGTTAAGAAGAAGCATTCCTTAGTGCCCAGATTCTGTAAGAGACTGTTACCAAGGTGAGGTCAAATTTAACTTTTTCAAATTCACGTAAATAGATAACTTCAAGCTTGTATTTTTTTGTATTGTTTTGTCATTTGAGAAAGTGAGAAAGACACAGTATCATGCTAACTAATCTTTCAGAACTTTTGAAGGCTGTAACTTTTTAAAAAAATAAGCAATTCTTCATTTTTGGTACATGCCATAATAGAGAGCTAAGTGATCTTTTGACTCAGAGTGAATCAACTAAATATTAGCTAGACGACTTCCTATTATAGGAGATACTAGTCATGGTATTGTTTATAAAACTTATAATGAGCTTCAAAATAAAAATTTTAACTCATGGATTCCTGCATAGGGCCTGAGTTATATCACCTAGACACTGCTTTAAATATCTCTTATGTGATAGAGGGCTCCTAACTCTGAAGTATAGCATAGTGTGGTATGGTATGGTATGGTATGGTATGGTATGGTATGGTATGGTATGGTATGGTATGAGATAGTATCCTAAAGTATACCAATTTAACTTTGTAACTGTAATGACATCTACTATTTTAATGTCTCTTTTATAACCACTGCCATGCATAATGACATCAGGCCTTAATCTTTTAGTCTCTGGATTAAAGCCTATAAATTGGTATTGAATGCAAATATAAAGATGAAGGTCACTGTCAATGTTACATAGCATTTGCCTGACTGATGTTCTCGAAGTCAGTATTACAAGATCAAGAAAATAAGGATTACCTGCTTTCACCATATAGATTAATACATGGTCTTATAGATTAACATAGGCAAGTAAAGAATATAAGTTATAATATTAACCAGTGAGTACAATGTGCCTAGCTGAGTTTATAAATAATAAGAGCTTGTCTGGCTTGAAGAACTGATGCCAAGAACTTTGTGAATGTTACATAATTTTTCTATATGAGTCCGTCAGCTTGGTATCAGTGTTGAGACTGAGGCTTTGAGAGATTCAATAACCTGCAGAAGATGGTGATACATTTACAAGAAGTTGTATTTGCCCCTCTGACCCTAAAGCCTGGTCTCTTTACCAATATCATCTACTAGTAAGAGTAGGCATGTTTCAAGTGCCTTTCAGTTGTTTCAGGAAGAAAGTTATACTAGCATCAAGCAATAAGAACATACTTTAAAAGTATGGGGGACAGTGTGTGGAGGGAGGTACTTAAAACAGTCTGACTTAGTGATCTGTACCCCAGCTGAATCAAAATTTATCAGTAGCATGCAATTCTGTACCTGAAGGCTAATTTTAAGACAGGTGATCTCTATGTACATATTTAAATGCATGAGAGACCCTTAAAAATCTGTGTGATACCACAAATCACTTAGATCTTGATGACAAAACTATGAGAAGGCTGACATTTTCATACCGAAACATCTGGGTATGTTTATAGCTCGAGTGTGATATGCCCCAGGTGCCCTCTGGGATTCTTACATTACCAGATGAAAAATGTGTACCTTTTTGACAATCAGGTACACAGAAAGCAATAAAAAGCCTTTTATATCCATTAATTCTTTCTTAATTTAATCTCCTTGCCCACTCCATTTACAAAATGCTCCAGGCTATCCACTAGATACCTGTTTGCACATTGAGAAGGAGTGAAACTAAATTCTCTTGGGTTTAACTACCACCCTTTTAATCAGAAACCTTAAGATGGTGGCTAAACAAGTATAGAGTTCCTGTGTATCAGTGGGGTTCAAATTTTAAGAAGACAAGGAACGTCTAACAGTCCCATGTGAATGGGATACTTATCTTTCTCTATATTCATCAAGGTTCCCATGACTCTAGCCAAATGACCACTGCTGCCCATCTGACAATATTTTGTTTTTTGTTGTGGACTGGTCGTTTTGTTACTGTGAAAGTATTTGATGAAACTCAGTGTAAGAAAACATCACTTTACCATTCAGTGCTTAACTTCCTTGCTTTCAACAGTTGGTGTTCAATCCAGTCGGGCTTTTGCTGCTGAATGCTCTGTATGACCTTTCGGGTCATGTGATGAGGACTACTTTGCCCTCCCATGATGCTTTCCAAACACACACAAATTAAGCCAAGCTTTTCCTTACTCCGTCTGTCAAGGCAGACACCTGCTAAAAGTTCCACAGTGTTTCCATCCTCAAATATCCGACGTATAATTACAATCAAGTTCCAGACGAGCAGGCCAGCTTTCTTCTGTGCAACAAAGTTTTTTGACATTTTTCTCTCAGACAGAAAAAAGAAGTACTTAATTGGGGGAGGCAAACATGCAATCACCGTAGGTAACTTGCTGATTACAATAGATACTGCCTGAGCAGCAAGCCTGGCGAAGCCTGGGGAAGAAAAGACAGAAAAGGTATGATTAATATTAGCATTTGCAGTCCATCGCTGCATGGTTTTTTGTTGTGTGGGGACGTCTAATTTTTGTGGAGAAAATTATTGAGAAAAGCAAGTGCTTTGACATCTTCCGACAGAGCTCTACCAGGGTTTCCTGCAATATTACCCAAAATTCCCCAAATCCCATACTTGATTATTTTTCTGCTTCCATAAGTGAAGACTGGGGAATTCAGCATTATAATTTATATTTCTACCTTTTAAGACTTCATCTTTGAAGGACCCAGTTGCCCTCCTCATTAGCAAATGCAAAGGGAATTCTGCTAGACCTCTGTGTAGCCTTTGATGTTTCTGAGGCCCCCTTAAATCTTTCTCCTCCATCCTCTGAATCCATGACAGAATCATTCCAGCTCTTCTTAGGATTGGCCCCTCCTCCTTTCATTCCTATCCTAAACATCACCACTTCAGAGAACCTCGCTTCACCATCTCATCCAAAGCATTCCCTTCATGGCCTCCCCGGCCCCATCCCAGTCCCAGCCCCCATCTAACATGGGACACCATTTTGTTGCCTAATTAGCCATCACCTATCCAAGAATTATCTCCTTTGTCTGCTCACTGTCTGTCACCTGCTATTAGAATAAAAGTTCCAGAAAGGGCATTACTATGTCTGCATCACACAGTACCTCATATGTAAGAGCCGTTGAGTAAATATTTGTTAAATAAATGGGTTAATAAACTAGTTTATATTTACCTCTAAGAATACTCCTCTTTCTTTTTTGTGTGTTTCTGGCTATTTTCACTTTTTACTAACACCTCTTAAATATGGGTATTTGCTAAGCAGTCCTTGGTCCTTCTGCTGATAATTCTATATGCATTCCCTTGCTTAGTGCTGTTTCTCTGCAGGATATATCAATTCTTTCTCTCTGGATTAGATTTTCTCTTTCTTGGCACCACTGCCATTTTCTTTTTTTTATTTTAAAGATAAAAGGAGGGAAACATTAACAGACATACAACATTTTACAACATATCACAAGCACAATACAGACAACACAGAGTTACAAACAAAGTGGTAGGGAATTAACAATGGTGGTTGTATTACATATTGATATCTTCAAAGTACCACTGCCATTTTGTACAGGACAATTCTTTATTGTCCGGTGCACTGAGAGATATTTAGCAGCAGCTCTGGTCTCTACCCCCTATAAACCAGCCGCATTCCTCTCAGTCGTGACAACCACAGTTGTCTTCAGGCGTTGTCACATGTCCATGAGAGCAAAATCACTCCTAACTGAGCAACAGTCTTCTACATGATTCTATGATCTTTTGTCTTGACCTTCCTACGGGGTTGCAGTCCTAATCTAGGGACCATTAGGGAGGAGTAGGCAGTGTAGGGCATGACCTGGGTGGCTAGCGTAATTGTGATAACTGCATGCTTACATGACATGACATACCGGAAGGTGCCCTTTGTAGGACCTTTGCATACTTTTAACTGTGTGCCCATAGCTCCTGTGAATCTTGGCTCACCTCAGAAACTACATAGATCATACTATGTCCCCAGTGTTCCTGTGTACCTTGGATCATTCCAGAAACAGAGGCTAAGATCCTGATTGTACCAATCAGAGCAATAATTATGTTTAGAATATCAGCTTACCCCTATAAATATGGACAAGGCAAAGGCATCAGACTGCGAAACTCACCTTTAGCTTCTCCCTGCCGTACAGCTCACTTGCTGTGGGGCAGGCCGTCCCCTAGCTCCCACCGCCCCCGCAATATTATCAGTAAAACTTCTGCTTTGCTTCACTTTTGTTATGTGAGTTTTTCATTCTGTGCCAGAGACTTTCGGTTCTGAGTTAGCTCATTCCAGCTCTACATTGGGAAGCGGAGGGCCCCTTCATGAGAGGCCCCCACCCCTCGGACCTCCAGCAGATGCAATACTACAAATCTAACTCTGTTCCCCATTCCACTTCTCCGTCCTACAGTAGTCACCATTAACTCAATATAACCATGTTCACTGTCTGCTTTCGAAATTAGCTGGTCTTCTTTACTCTCTCCCTTCCTTCCCTCCTTCCTTCCTTCCTTTCTTCCTTTCTTCCTTCCTTCCTTCGTTCCTTTCTTCATTCCTTCCTTCCTTCCTTCCTTCCTTCCTTCCTTCCTTCCTTCCTTCCTTCCTTCCTTTCTCTCCTCTTTCTCTCTCTCTTCCTTCCTTCCTATTAAATGTCCTATTGATCCTTCATAACCAACCAATGATCAGCCTTGATAAATCTTCCTGCTCCCTACATCTGACCCACCCTTTCTCTTTGCTGAGAACCAGCCTAAGCTGCTCACCTAGTTCAAGCTCTTCCTTATAAATGGTACCTGGACAACATAAGCACACTCCTAACTCATCTCCATGCTCTAGGTGGTGTCCAGCCCCTCCCCTGAACGGTAAGAACAGATGAATATACTGTTCTATCAATTTCATTTTCTCATTTCTCAGCTACAATTATTCTAGCTGCTTTTTCTTAGCAGACGAGCCTCCAGAATTTCTCTCTCAAACTCTCCTCAGCCAGCCTCGGTCTGTTTCCAGGAACCTTCTCTTTGAGACTTTGATATGCTTTTAAGCGTGTCTGTTGTTAAGCTTCTGAATATCTCATTACTTTCAGTGCAATGTCCTCTTTCTTAGGAGTTCACCTACATTCTTTAATTCTTCGAACTCCCCCTCCCCTCTTAGGAATTTATTTGAAAGTATTGTCCATAAGAGCACATTGGTAGCCAGGTGCATAACGGACCGTGTTGTATTATCTTTTGTATCATGGTCTCTATTATTTATATCAATCACATTGTCATTTATGTTTTTGTGAGTTGTCTTTATAACTAGACTGAAAGCTCCTCAGGAGCACAGGTAAAAAAATCTCTGAGGATCCCACAGATTCCAACAGTACATGCCTCATGAATGTGAAATCATCTAGTTCAGGACATGGTTAAAAAAAAGAGTTCTTTGATAAATGTTTTCTTTTTATTTAAATGAATATGGTTAGGTGCATATGTTTTAAAAATATAGATAAAGCAAATTCAGATACTCTCTTTTGTTTGTGTGCTTGAAATATTTTCAGTATCTTGTTCTTTACGGGTTTGTGTCTCATACTCCTTATTTTACTGCCAGGAGTTTGACTTAAAAAATTGTATTTTATATTTTCTCTATTCTAAGGAGGGTTTAAGCACAGATACTGAGTAAACATTTGACAATCTAAGGAGATATCAGCAAAAGATTACCAATTCTCTTTACACCTGAACTTCTGCTGATATTTTATAAAGTCTGAGGACATCAGGTACTCAAATCCCCAACTACTTCATTAAAGTTTAAGGCAAATTCCAACCAGGACCTTCAGACTGATGACAAATGAATAAATCTATTCTACTAATCACAAGGGCTGTGAAGCTATGATGATGTTAACAGCACACCAGGGAGAGATCCTTTAACACTGCCACACGCTCATTTTCTTGTCTTTATTTAAATACGTTGACTGCCTAAGCCATCGATATGTAATACATGCCATCCCAATTGCAGAGCTGATAAAGTGTGAAAAAATATGTGTTAGGATGAAGAAAACATGGTAGTTATGCTTATGCATGTATCATTTCTTCCTTCCTACACATGCACTATTTTAACATCATACTTATAAATTATAGACTATACAAAAAAGAAATAAACAGCAAGTGAAAGAAAGCATCAATAACAATTTTTGAGTGATGATAATGTGATTTAATATGCTTTTTTATGTTTAAAATCTGTGCTTCACACTTCACAGAGGTCAGATTCAAGTTCAGTTTGTTTCAATATTATGTTCTAATGGCTCCACTGGTGAAAAAGCCACTGCATAAACACATAGACCCACATGAAAGGAACAGAGTACTACTAGCTGTGCTTACAGAATCATGGCACTTGTTTTTTCAGCGTTACCTACCTAACAGGTAAAACTTTTATTAAATTTGACTAATAAACAGCCATTAATTGTGATGCTAATTAGTTTTTCTTGAAAACAATTTGAAAAATATTTCAGTTTTGTATTTTAAGAAAAAATTCAAGGATCAATGAATCTTTACACTACACTTTAAAACATGTTTGTAAATTCTACATCTGAATTCTTAAGTGCACAGCTATGATATTTTTCTGGATGATACTGGTCTTTATAAAGCTCATACATCTAGGTTTTATACAGCAAACTTTATTAATGACTTCCCAGAGCAATTTGTGCGTTTCTTCTCTCAATTTTCTTCTCAACAATCTGCACGTGAAAAAAGGTATAGGTGAATTTTTCTCATGTTTTTGCTCTCCAGCATCCACCATTTCAGTTAAAGCAAATACTCCAGCAATTCTCCCATAAAGGGTTCTTTTCCCATAGAAAAGGGAAAAATAATAGAAAAATAATCCACTGTTGAGAAAACATCCTAGGTACATCTTTTATTTCATTGTCATCAAAGAAACAAAATGAAACTGGTTCTCTTTGTGCACACACATAATGGAGCAAATAACAGCTGGGTTATGTCAGAGCCAATTGAGCTTTCACACAACTGTATGGTAAAACTCCTACCCTAGTAATCTACATTTACATTTATCTCTTGAAATCTTCAATGTCTTCTATGTGATAGTATTTGCTAGAAAAGAAATTTTTAAAAATGCATTTTAGCCTAATACCATAATATTTTCCACTTTCTGTCCTTTTCACTATGGTAAGGCTATTTGTCACTTCTCAGAAAGTTAGACTTCTAGGGGGGAGGGGTGTCTTTAAACGTATATCATTGTTTATGCAAATTTTGCAAGGAACATCATTATGTATCACTTTACCTAAAACACCAATGAAAAAGTACTAAGGTTTGTCGTCATGTTTTAGCTTCGTTTTGAAATCTCTTGCTAATCAAGATGATTTCAACTGTGGTGAATTTCTTGTCACCTCGTTTTGAAATTCTGTATCATTTTTATGGTTTCTTTTGTTTTGTTTTTGACTTTGTGTTTGTTTTATGTTTTTGCTTGTTTTTCATCTTTTTTTCTTTAAAATGAAATTTTTAAAAAAGATGACTTCAAACTATCTCCAGCTGGTATCTACAGCTGGAAGCTCACTTGGGAGGGATACACACGACACACTAATGTATCAGAGGCCATATTTCAAATAATTTTCCCACATTTTTTGGCAAACCTGATCAGATCATCGTTTGACCTTATGACAAGGCTGAGAAACAGCTTATACTAGTAATGGAAATGTGTGGAATGTTTTGCTCTCTCATTGTGTGGTCTCCACTGTTTTCTAGTATTAAACTACAGTGAGTTGTTGACTTACAGGAGTGTTTTAAGGTAACTTGTATGTTTTGTAGTTTTTGTTAAACCAGATCCTACAATACAAAGGACAAATTTAATGCACTGTCATACACAGAAAGGAGAAAGGTTTCCCCGCCCTTTGCCTTCCCCCAATATTGGGGTGCTCCTGCAATAATGGAATTTCAAAACAGGCTAGTAGGAGAGTGACAATAATTAGAACACTGCACGTTGTTGTCTTCATAGTAGTTACTCAGAGTACAAGATATAGGCATGACATCTTGTCCAAACAATATTAGCACTGACCTTTCTTTTCAATGAACTAAGAGAAACTACCTGTACAACTGTCTTACCTGTCCTGTGTATAAATACACTTTTTTCTTCTTCCTTCCTTTTTTTCCCCATTTCCCCCATCACAGTTTATCTTTTCTTTTGACCAGTTTCTTCCCAATTCACTATATCTACTGTACATTTGGACTCTGTTTACTCATTCAGTTCTCACACGAGTGAGACAATATGATGTTTACACATATGGGTCATTGGTCATTCATGAGTTGCAAATTAAAACACCTTGAGATTCCAACTCACCCCAGAAAGAAAAGCTATCATCAAAAATAAAATTAACCAACAACAAATGCTGGCAGGACTGTGGGAAAAAAGGAACCTTTCTCCACTGTTGGTAGGAGTATAGACTGGTGCAGCCACTGTGGAAATCCATGTGGAGATTCCTCAAAAAACTAGGACTAGAGGTCCCATTCAACTCATCTCTTCCCCTTCTGGGTATCTTCCCAGAAGAACAAAAAATATCATACCACAGTGGTATATATGCACCCATATTTATAGCAGCACAATTTGTAATAGCTAAATCTTGGAAATAACCCAAATGATCATCTGTCAATGAATGGATAAAAAAAGATGTAGTTTTTAATATAATGTAGGTACTACTCAGCCATAAAGAAGGATAAACTCAAGGCTTTTATAGGTAAATGGATGCAACTGAAGACCATACTCATAAGTGACATAAATCAGACTCGTATGTATAAACCTCTCTAGTGTAAGAAACTAAAAAAAAAATAAGACCCAAAACCTACAACAGATATTGTGAAAGGGAAAGCAACTGCTCAAAAAGAAAGAACAACTGGGTTGAGTAAAAGGAGAAAAGAAGGAAGGGAAAACAAAATACATATATACAAAATAGAGATAAGATAGTTATACTATTGATTTCTTTTAGTTCATTGAAACAAACAATTTGTGTTTATATTGTTTGATAAATTACGCATGCCAGGGGCTGGGGATTTAACTCAGCGGCAAAAGCACCTGCCTGGCAAGCGCAAGGTCGTGAGTTCAGTTCCTGGTACCGGAGAAAAACAAAAACAAACAAACAACAACAACAAAAAATTACGCATGCCTGTATCTTGTAATCTGAGCAATTACCTTGAAGTTAGCAATACAAAACATATTAACCATTTTTAATCTACTATTATCTTCTCTTGAAATTCTGTATTATTGGTCTTTTTTCTGTAAAATAAAAAAATAAATTTTAAAAATTAAAAAAAATAAAAGTCCCTGTAGTATTTTAGAAAGCAGAAATGTAGAACAGTGAAATTTGGCCATTGTCATATACACCTAGAATGGACTACATGGTTCATAAAGCCATTATTGTCTATATATTTATGTGATCTGAGACGTCTTCTTGGCTGTCTGTATATTGTAATTCTAGTGATAATTTTATGAAAAATACTACTCAGTAAGGAAAACCCTACAACTGGTTTCAATAAAGTAACCATATTTTTGGAACTAGAGGCTCTTTGAAATGGTATGGAAGAATATCAAAATGCTTTGCAAAAACCAAAATTATTCATGAATGAGAGAACAATTGGAAATTTCCAAGCAAAATGGTGCTGCTAGTGTTCCATGATGTACTAACTATAGATCATGTCTGCTGACTTGCTTGACATGTATGAAATATCCAGAAGCTAGAATGAAGGAGGGATGGCAACAGCTCTTCAATAAGGAAGAACTTAAGTAATGAAAAGGTGACATTTTCCAGTTTCAATTAGATGGTTTTACTAGATTCAAAGGCAGTTTAATAGGGCTTGGACAGAATGAAACCATTACTATGAAAGGTCACAGGTAGGTAATTGATTTGAGTTTGTAATATAAGGTCACTGGCTAAGAGCCATAGAGAAAAATGAAAGAAAGACCAGTCCCTTCAACTGCCTTCTCTGGGTTTAGCTGGAATATTTTATTGTCAAAAGTTTTCTTAGAGTTGATGAGAAAAATATCCTCCTTCAAAGATAAATATGGAAATGGAAAGTTTATTTTAGAAAACCAAAAAAGATGTATAGATATAGACATATGATATATATCCAAACGAGCTTTGGGAAAATGAAAATATGTAGGTAGGAAATGACCATTTAAGAAGAGAAAACTTGATTAGCAAAATAGATGAATAATGTATATGAGAAAGGATTCTTAAGTATATTTGGTGGATGCACTGCTCTCAAAAAGCAATACAGTAAACTCAGAACCAAAGTAATGAGGAAAATACTGTAGTTACCTCATTACTACTGGATGCTATTTTTGTTTTTTTGGTGTTTTTTTTTGTTTTGTTTTGTTTTGTTTTTTTTCCTGGTATCAGGGATCAAACTTAGGACCTTGCCCTTGCCAGGTAGGTGCTTATGCCACTGAGCTATATCCTCGGCCACTGGATGCTATTTCTGACTTAAAAGCTACTGTGTGTTTGTGTTAACAAGAGAAAAGAAAGTAATAAATTTTCAGAGGAAATTTGTAAAGGAAAGAATAGTTAGCAATTAAGCTGGATGTCATACAAATCTTCTTGAGAGTACATGTCTTAGATTATACAATAGGTTTAAAGGAAATTAATCAAAATTAACCAAATTGTGAATATTAACACACAAAGAAAATATCACAGAAAATTCTGAACTACCTGTTACATATTATGATCTTTAAGCCATTTTCAATTGTAGTTTTCTTCTGCATGTGGTTCATATTTAAAAAATATTAAGGGTCCCAAGTGGTTGGTGGAAAGGTTAGTATTATTTATCAATCATGTACTTTTCAAAAATATTACTTAATTGAACATGTTAGAGAATTGCTTCTTCAGGTTAAGTTTTCTTTAAGAAAAACAAACACACTTACCTTTGCTTGATTCTTTCTTTTTTGTTTCTTTTGGAATATAATTCCATTCTTTAGGCATGCTCTCCAGCAAACGATTCGGAACACTGTGGTTGTTCAGGTCTGTTCCATAGGTTCTTCCACAGCTCATTAAGGATATTACCTGCTGTACGATGCCCTTGACGGCATCAGTCAGAGCCAGTCGCAAGCATCGGATGACCTCCAGCTCGGACTCCATACACACTGAGAATTTAAAATCAGGTGGCATATTATGGTTAGCAAAACCTGGCAATCAAGCGTGCCTCATTTAATTGGGGATACTGTTTCAAAAAGATGGAGTTCAATGTTATAGGCAAGGAGAACTTATTGTAACCAAGAATTCATATAATTAATAATCAGCTCAAAAAGCATTTAAGCAAATTCCTTCTTCCCAGCAATTAAAACATTACTATTACTATAATGGTAAATAGCAACCTTTGCTGAAAATTTGGATTCTGCTGGTGGAATATAAATTGCATGACCTTCTTAAATGACAACATGGCAATAATATCAAAAGCTTTAATATTTTACTTGCCTGTTGAGTCAATACCATTTGTAGGAATTAATACTAAGAAATTAAATAAGAATATACAAATAATATATAAAAGATTAAAATTATTCAAATATTCAACAAAAGGTGATTTGTTTAATTAACTTTGGCATAGTAACTGTACAACACAGCCAAATACTGTGTAGTTAGAAAAAAACAGGTTAGAAGAGATTATGACATACCATTTTTATTTCAAAATACTATATGTCTATGAACTTTCTAATGCCAATGGTGACTATCAATAATGGGGCTTTAAATAATATTTTCCTTTCCTTCTTCTTTTGCTCTTCTCCCTTCTTTCTCTTCTTCCTTCCTTCCCTCACTTTTATCCTGCCTTCCTGCCACCTTTGTATGTATTACCCACAATGAATATATATGATTTGCACTATGTGTGCAATAAAACCTTTGGTTACTTGTTTGACATTTAATATGACTAGAGAGTCCTGAAACCATCACTGGAATCCATACAGAAAAAAAATGTTCTCCTCTACACTTCATGTTCTCAGGTAATATTTCTCAAGGGACTCATTTATTTAATAATGGTCCATTGTTAAAACCATCATGGAGAAAGATGTTCTTCGTAATATCAAATATTGAGTTTAACTTTTTAACACAGCATCACCATGAATTAAGCAACATTGTACACTTTATAAAAATGGTATAGGATAGAACTGTCCATCTTCTTGATGATATTTCAAAATTTGAACTCATCACAAGGCACTAGTAGATGCACTTCTTCCTCTATCAATTATTATTCATCTTGACTGAACTCTGGCGCTATGGACTAAATACATTTTAGTTACCTCAAAAATTCGAGGAAACCAGACATACTTCTGTTTTCTTTTGTTAAAAAAGGCATGTTTATTGTCTATAAAATAAAATCCAGGTATTGAAAATTATAGAGAAAATAATTTACCTCAAAAATTATTTGAAAATTAAACTAATTTATAAAAATTAAGTATTTTGAACAGTAAGTAACTGGCATAGCAACTATGTAAATGTTACATATTATTAATACCCAAGATAAGAGGTTTTTGGGAAAGTTACAGTGTTATAGTGTTGAGTTTCACAATAGTTATTGGGTATGATGCCCTAAACCATCTTGAGGACTTCATACTATAGGGAGGATTAAGCAATATCTACAGATGTCTGTGGCAGGGAGAGATGCAGGTAAAGAAGGAAGGAAAAGAGAAATGGAAAGAAGAGGGGATAGAGAAAAGAAGGTAAGTAAAGGTACATGTGTGGAAGCAATGCACTGTCAGAGTCATACTCATTCTCAGGTTAGAGTACCTAGATTGTCAAGACACATCGTACAGAAAGAACACAATAATATCCCCAAACCAACAGCTAAAGCCCACAATTTTAATCCTTGATTATCAGCATAAAGGAGAGAAGCAAGAGAAAGCATCATTCAAAAAGATAATGTTTTTATTATTGATATTTTGTCATATATAATTTCAGGTTTCATGTTAAAGTAACTGAAATGAAAGTGAAGAAACATAAAATTCAGATTGAACCATGTAATTTAAAGAAAAAGACAAATTTGAGGCATGTGTAGGAAAATCGCTATACCTGAAACACACAATGTTGAGTGAAATACACCAGACACACAAGCTTAAATACTATACGGCATCTCTCATTGTGCAAGGCAGAGTACACACAAAGAGAATAATAAAGGATGGATAGAAGGAGACCAGGGGATGGATCTCTTGCACATGGGAAGGGGTCCAAGAGACCAAGAGTGAGGGGTGAGAAGGAGAGGAAAGAGAAGTAAGTAGAATGAGGATAAGCTTTGAATAAGAGTCTAATCACCTCAGTGAATGTAAGTATTATATGCCATAAACATGAGTTAAGACTAATAATATGAACAGGAATGAAAATGGGGAAAGGAGAATTAGAGGAGGAGGGAGAGGGTGGGGAAGGAAAGGGAAGGGACTTTAAAAAGAACCAAGCTGTTTTATGTACATGTACCCACTTGCCAAGATGACTTTATATTGCCTGTGCCACAAACATGTACTTTCCCAGTCCAGCACAGCCCTTGAAACTCCAGAAGGAGGACAGTGGAGGATGGGAAAAATATAAGAGTCAAGACTCCGAAAGCTGAGATCAACTGGAGCGCCTCTCCTGATGGGAGAAAGGACTGCCCAACAACTGCGGCACGTTTATTTCTAACACTCAGCAGAAGGCTGATGTTTACAGAGCATTTAAGGAGAGAGTATGATTTAGAACAGGAAGAACAGCTAATCTTCAGCAAAGTATCGTGCCTTGGTAGTTACACAGGGAACAAGAGGGGAAGTGTCTGTATTCTCTCAAGGGAAGGGCAAGCCACTTTGTGCATCAGCTCCCTCAGCTGTGTACTCTCCTCATGCGACTCTGCTAAACTCAAGACAGGCAGTGACCCTGCCTTACATACCTGAGGTACAGACAGCTTTGCCCCCAACATGCACTAATAAAAATTTACAAATTAATAAAAATAAATAGAAAGAATCCATGCTTTCTCCTCTCCTTTTCTAATATTTCAAATCAATTTTAAAAATAAGGAAACTCTATCTAATCTAGGAGGGGCGCCCCCATCCTTATCTATACAACCATAAGCAGAGAGGGCAAGAGGAGCAGGACAAGACGATATTTGTGGTCTTCCTTAGTTTTTACCTTCTACGTCTCTATTTAAAATCCTAAAAGGAAAATAACAAATATTTCAGAGCCAAGTACATAAAAAGATCAATAAAAGCAGTGATTCTGCTGCTTTCTTTCACAGCATAGTAATCAGAAGTCCTTAGAGAGAGGGGGAATGATGGTCTTAAATCGAAAATGAGCCTCAGTCTTCAACAGCAATTCTAAGAATGATAGAAACCAAACAGTTCATGGATCGACACGTTTTGCTTAAGACACTGTCAATTTTTTATCAGTACAATCTTAAAATTTGATAATGATAGATCAGGCAAAGCATAGAAAACTTTATTACTTTTATTTTTAAATTTCTATCATTTTGAATACATAGGGAAAAAGCAATTTAGTGGTAGTTTTTCAAGCAACTTTTAAGAAAGATGTTATCCTGTGTTTGACAAAGAATAACCTAGTCTGACATTATAAAAGGAACAGAGCCACACATGGTAGCACATGCCTACAATTGCAGCATTTAGGTAGGCGGGGGCAGGAAAATTGCAAGTTGGAGCTCAGTCTCCAAGTTGGAGCAACTTAGTGAATTACCCAGAGCCTGTTTCAAAACAGAGAAGTGGAGAGTTGGAGATGTAGCTCAGTGAAAGACCCTGAGTTCAATTCCAGTAACACAGACACACACACACACACACACACACACACCATGGGAATAAAAATGTATTGCTAAGCAAAAGTTTTAGTATGAAAAACATGCTACTAATATATTGATTAATTAGGAGCTATTGGAAATAAGGTTTACTGATAAGTTATAAGTAATTGGGCAGCCAGAAGTAACAAAGAATCATTTAAAAATCCTCTGAAAATACATGAGCATAATTTGTCAAAAGAAAAATAAAACTTATTTGGTGCTTCAAAAGTTTAGATGATAGGGGCTGGAGATTAAGTCAGTGGCACAGTGCCTACCTGGCAAAAGCAAGGTCATGAGTTCGATTCCTGGTACCAGAAAAAAAAAAAAGTTTAGATAATACAAATAAGACATTGAAATTTGGACAGGATCTGGCTCTCATTTTATTGAGATACAAGGAAATTGACAAACCAGATAGAAAGTGATGGGCCAGCTAATAAGTAGGAAGGCAAGGATATACTAAACATCTCTCTAGCAAAAGACCTTGCTAAGAAAATCAAAAGATAACCACAGACTCGTAAAAAGTTATTGATGCATGTATCTGAAAAAGGACTTATGTGTAGAATATAGAAAATATTCTTTACAACTCAATGAGACAAACAACGGAATTAATAAAGGGAAAGTTTTGAATAGACATGCTACAAAAGAATTCTTTTAAATGGCCATTAAGAACATGAAGAAGTACTTGCTTTCATTAATCCTGAAGGGAATATGAATTAAAACTATCACTAGAGGGGCTGGGGATTTAGCTCAGCGGCAAAGCGCCTGCCTGGCAAGCGCAAGGTCGTGAGTTTGGTTCCCGGTACCAGAGAAAAACAAACAAAAAAAAAAACTATCACTAGACATACTTTAGACTGACAAAACCAAAAAGACAGTTCCTAGTATTGGCACGGATATGAAGAAAACAAAATTCTCATACATTATTGGTGGTAATGGAAAAAGATACGACTATTTTGTAAAGCAGGTAAGTAGTGATGAATGGATAAAACAGAGACTACTACTCAGTGATACTAATCAGCAGAGGAAAAAAAACGAACTATTAAAAAAGCATAATGTAAACAAAAGAAGCCTGATACAAAAGATAAATAGATTTCTATTTATATGAGATTCTAGGATAGTTTTAAAAATAACCATGGTACAAAACATTATCAGCATCTTCCAAGATTGGAAGTTGAAAGAATTGAGTATAAAGTGGGATGCAAGAACTTTTGGAGGTGAGGAGAACGCTCTGTCTTTATTATGGTAGTCATCACACAGGTTTACACTCATAGTCATCACACAGGTTTATTGGTCAAATGTATTGGAGTTTTCATTAGAAATGAGTAAATGTTATGGTATATATTATACCTAATAGAGAATTTTAAAAGCAGGTTATAAATACAAGCATTGCGTGGATGAGCAAATAAAAGTCTCTGGAGAAATGACTACAATTCAGAACAGAAATGATCTCTTAATTTCTGAAAATTTACATGTCACACTTACCCACACTATGGTGCAGGTATGTATGTAGATAACAGAAAATTGCTATGCCTAATACAAAGGTCAATTAATTTTAGCAACAAAAAAACAGTTCGGCATATAAATGCATTCTGAAAAGTGCTTCTTAAAGGTTTTTATGAGGCTAAGGAAAATGAGTACAGAAACAAAGCAAAACTTGGGATCTCAAAGTTTAATTGGGATGCTTTGCTAAGTCATTGAAATCCTTCTTCCCAAAGGCTGTGAGAGAGTTAAGAAAACTGACCCAGAAAACAAAAGCAAGCCCAATGCCATAGTGAGGGGCCTAGCAGTACTTGTTGAGTGTATTATAATAATATCGCACAGGCCATTTTTGATAATATTTTCTTCATTTACAAGCCTGTTTGGGTTAGTCCTGACATGAGTGCCACCAAATCTGATTTTTATGGAGTGCACTGGTTTTTCAATATCTATTGTAGGTCCCTAACAATTATTTTATATATCTGTCCTTTATCATCTTTTAAAATAGGTATTGTCATTTTTGCTTTCCTTCCCTAGCTCATGTTCATTCTAAAGAGTTAATGTGTTGGATTTCTAGTTATAAAATCAGATTGTATATTTCATCACTGAACTAGTATTCATAAAGCAAATGACTTAAAATATGTAGTCTAGTTGAAAAACTAAGGGGAAATAACATAGAGTATGAGATAGGAGATCTGGTTTCTTGCTCCGATACTGTCCATCTTAACTAAACTATCTTAATGTCTCCTGCCTTTGTTTACTCAGCAGTAAGATGAGGGTATTGGCTACTTCATCTTAGCATTTCCATTGTAAAATAGTAAGACCCTGATGTACTGTGGGTAAGCTATGCTGAAATCTTTGACAGTGTTTCATCTGGAAGAAAATACACCATTGATGTTTTTTAGCCATGTAAGACAGTTGTCTGGGTAGGTCAATTATATTTATTAAAGCATGGATCTATGAGGGTTAAAATGCAAATATTGTGAGATTATAATTATGCGTCTCAGATGTATTTCCTTTTAACATCTTTTAGTTTCAAAGGAAACGTGAGTCATAATAAAAGGATTAATTTTGTTATGAATTAACACATTGCACTACCTTATTAGTGCTCTTTAAAATAACCATGATTGGTAACAGAGGAAAAGGAAAACTTTTGAAACTGTTGGCAGAGAAAGGACAAAGATACAGTCCCTTAGGACCACTGCAGGTCTCAGGCTCCAGAGAATATTCAACATACAGAGTATATTTTACAATGATATTTATGGAGAAATGACTTGTACAAAGGCCAAGGAGCTTCACCGATGTGAACTTCTGCTCCTTTGGGCCTCTCCACACAATTCAGACTATATGATATCAGTAAAACTTATTTCTAGAGATCTGTCTGGCTGCCTAGAGGAGACTTTGCTCAGTGTGTAGAGAAACAGAAGACAAGTTAGGAACAAGTCCAGTTTTATTCTCACTTGCCATACCTTCAAGTCCACTGATACCTTCTAGGTCATTTTCAGTAGTTCTGAACTGACAGTCAAAAGTGGTTGAGGAACTTAATAGTTGAAGGATACAGATGTTGAAGCATGAGGGCAACAGAATCTTTACAGTCTTGTAAGACAATACAATTATTAATTCCCTAAGAAGAAAAGTAAACACACCTTAGGGTGTTCAAGATTAGCTTTAATATTGGTTGAACAACTGGTTTTCTTTCAGTTCAATAAACACCACATCAGAAGCACAAGTTCTAATCAGTTTTCCTACTTAGGAATCTTCTGTTCCTTTGGGCAAACCAAAAGCAGTGAGGTAATGCTTGGAAACCAGGAGATAAAATTTTAAAGGAGATCACTATTGTAAGACCTTTAAGTAACAGATTCAGATTTTTTTTGAAACCATTACCTAAAGTTATCTGCTGCTATTTGCAGGGATAATGACAAAGGGAAGATGAAACATAATGACTCAGGTTCTCATCCTCTCCATTAAATATGGAGATATGTGGGATTATAATGTGAAAACCTGTGCCTGGCCTGAAGGTGGGGTACCCCATCAGCACCTCCGGTTCTGATGTGCAGCCTGCACTGTCCTACACATCCTCTCTAGCTGAAAGCTGAAGAACAATACAGATGGAGAAAACACACCACCACTAAAGGAATCATAGAATGTGTTTGTCTTGACTAAAAAAGATATGATGGTCATAATAAGAAATGCATTATATATCAAGAAAAATGACCAACAGTTTATTCCATCGGTTTGTTAAAAAAATGAGGCAAAGATTAACAAAATATTTTTCACATCTTGGTAACATAAGCTAAGAGGAAAAACATAATCTAATGTAAAAATTAAATCTTTATGATAGAACACTTCTTAAAAATTAAAAAAATCTCCATTACATAATTTTTCTCTTCAACTTCCTTGAAGTATTAATCATATACCCCAAGTATATTAAGTTGGACAGAAACTAATAGTTGATGATTTGCTACAGAAACTTTGTAATGAAAAGATGTAAGATGAACTTTTACAAAAGCGGATTCAGCAAACCCAATATCCATGAAAGTTTTAAAACATCTTTATAGGTATTTGAAGTACCTATTAGGCACTTCACATACAAACATTAAGTTTCTCATACCTGGAATGTTATATAAGATGTCCCATAGTTGTTCTTCTTCCATGTAACTCACAAAAACATTTCCAAATACTTGTGGAGAATAATTACAATGGTACAGTACTTTAAAGATGGCTTCTATCAGGCTGGATGCTTGGCTCAGATAATTTTCTATGTCAGAAATTTGTTCATGAAAGGTACATTCTTGAAAAAAAAAAAAGATTTAGTAAAATAGGTATTAGTGAATATGATCAAATTCTAACCACTTACCGTAGCATAATGCTGTGAAATGTATGAGACTAATGTTTGCCTAATGTTATGGTTTGTGCCTAGACAGTCCCTCAAGCTTCATGCAGTCATAGAGTTCCTTTAGATGTGGTTGAATCTAGAGTGTGTGATTGATTTGCAGTGCAGTGCTTGGATTAATGGTACTGGGTAGGTGATTGCTGGATCAGTCCACAGATTAGCCTGACACCACCCTAATCCTGGTAGACTGGACACAATATAAGGGACAGAAAGAGGCTTCTCTCTCTCTCTCTCTCTCTTTCTCTCTTGTTGCTTTTATTGTCTTCTTCTGCTATAAACCATTGCCCCTCTGCCATGTGCCACATTGCGTTGGAGGTGGACAATTATGGACTGAAACCTCTACAAACTGTGAGCTAAATAATCCTTTCCTCCTTTAACTTTGGGTTTGAGGAATTTGTCTCAGCATCAAGAGAGAAATAACTAAGATGCATAATGAAAGAAATACCATATTCTTTCTGATGAATTGTCCATTAAACTCATTATTCCTTCTGAGATACCCAGAAAAATTTATAAAAGAGTAAAATGAAAAATGTGAGAAAGATCACAATGACATTGCTTCCAAGTGGAGTGCTAGCTTTTCTGCACGTTAAAATTCCTTCTTCTCTTAAGAAAAACTTGTTTCTTTATTTATTTGTATGCTTGTTTTATTTTAAGAAATAATAAACATTCATTCTAGAGATTATTTTTAAAAATTCAGAAAACTCAGAAAACTAAACTTGTGTGGTGAGAAAAATCACATTTGTTGTGTTCTCGTAATTATGCTATCAATTCTGCAAATAAATTTATGAATGTTTCTCAAACTCATGACACTATCATTTTAGAATAGAGATTTCTCTCTGAATTAGTTCCTTGATAAGATTATATAAGGAATTTCACAAAACTGGGGCCATTTTAATACCCTTTTCAGCCCTTCTCTGGCTCCACTGTGGCGTCCTTCAAGATCAGTATTCAGAAGTTCATACACTATTGCATCTCAGTGATGGATTGCAAGGTGAATTAATCATTGCTATCTTATCTGAATATTAAACATCATCATAACAAGCAAAAATATTTATTGGATTAATGTGAATATCAACTCATCTTGTGTATTTTAAATATCTCATATAAAGACAACCTAGAGCCTTGGAATGAGTACATTTCTTTATTCCTGTTCATTTGGAAGCTCATCACCTTTATGTTTCCTCTCAATAATTTTACTCCTGGGATTTGACTTTAACGATGTAGAGGAGCTCATGATTCTCTAAAACCTAACAACTGGTGCCAAAGATTTTATGCAAGAAAGCAATTATTAGTTTTGCTTCCTAACAACTATTTCAAACAAGTTGCTTTTCTCTAATGAGCTATCCCTGTCCCCTGCACCGTCCTTGGGCTACTCTGACCTGCTCCACCCTATACCACTCCCTCCAGTTTATTTAGGTGGGACAAAGCTGATTGCTTTGCTTAAGCTGTGCACATGACCAAGGCATGGTGTACCACAGCCTGAAGCCTCCCATCAACATGATCAGCTCCAGGGTGAGCAGGTAACCAGTGATTAACTTCTTCAGGATTTTTGCTGGAATAGTTGGTACAGCAGTGTTCTCTTTTGCTAGGTTTGCTGAGCTGGTAGAAAGTAGGCTGAAAGTTGCTGATGCCATTTTGGAAAGAACTTGACTAAGAATAGATCGGATACAGCAAGAAGCAGAAACAAGAGCTGGAGAGAAGATCCTGATGAGATCACACTCTTTGAGGACCCCAGTTCTGCCTATGGATTTCAGTCAGCTGAGCTGATTCATATCTCTTTTACATTAAACCAGGCTGATTTGGATTTCCCTCACTTGGACTCTGCAATTGTAATCTATGATCAAGTGTAAAACTTTAGATAGCAAATGCTTCTCATACAGGAGCCCATAATTTCATTTTTATACAAATACCCTCTGCAATTCTCTACCTTCTCCTCTCTCCAATTCACATACAATGATCAGTTATCCTTCATGGCATCCTAATGTGAAAGCCTGCCCATTCTTTGCTTTGTTAAAGACTCCTTAGCCTAATGATCAGGAATTTCTGCATTCTTTTTCAAAATTATGTTCTGGTCCCCAAACGTCTATTCCACCCAAAAGTGTTTATTTACTACTTCTTTTAAATGTGCCCAGGCTGGGGGTATAGCTCAGTGGTACAGCCCCTGCCTGGCAAGCATGAGGTCCTGAGTTCAATTCCCAATACAAAAAAAATAAAAGTTTTTTAAAAGTACTCTTCTTTCTCTGTCTCTGTCTGTCTCTGGCCTATGCAAACAAAAAATAATGCCACTCTAGGACATTCTCCTCCAATAAAATGCCCATGCTTTAACCTATTAACTAACTGATTGATTGGCTGCTTAGGAGGTGTCAGACATTATACTACATGCTATAGCTTTCACCTTCCAGGGATTCATTGACTGTGTGCCTATGTCTGTGTTTGCTGGGGCAGGGGATGATAAGGAAACAATCATTACAGCAATTCAAGAGTAAGTACAGTAACCATACATCCTGATTTCTCTGGAGCGGTCCTGGCTTATGAAGAACTAGTAGTATCCACTTTCACTCTTAAAACTGTCTGTATTAACTGGACATAATATGCAAAACCTCAAGTTTACATGAGAATGGGTTTAATTTAGCTCCTGGTTTTAGGGGATTCAGTCCATGTTCAGCTGGCTCCAAGGCAGGGACCTCATGAGAAAGGTTGCTGTGGCAGCAAGCTTAGCTTGCTTAGCTCTTGGTGGTCCAGAAGCAGGGCAGGGGAATAGCACCCAAGAGGAAGAGGCCAAGGACCACAAATAGCCCCCAAGGTCACACCTCCATGGCCCAGCCAGACACACCCAAAACTGTGTTCTATCAATCCCCGTGCAGAATCTCAAAGTCAATCAAGTTGACACTTCACTGGAACCATCACAGTGTCTTAGTCTGGATGATAAATTAATTTATCACCTAAGCTAAGTGCTTTAAGTATAAGACCCTGTGGTATTTAACTTTTTTTTTTTTTTCAGGGAACACAGAAAAGAGGCTCAGGCAAGCCTTTGAGAAGTGGTTTTATTTTCTATTTTTCTCCCTCTATTTTCTTTTGCCTTAGACTAAAAGAGTCTATTTCTGTTTACTTACCTCAGGGATTTCTGCTACTTTCAAAACACAAAAAAACTAAAATCAGTTGCCTTTCTAGACTTAAGAAAGAAGAGAACCTAAATCTGAATAGTTATTTGCTTGAACTACATAAAACAGCCATTCTTGTAGGCCATAAAAAGCAAAACACTGGCGTGACCATGTGATTTCCAGGGGAGTCCTATGTGTCCTGGCAGCGAGAATTTGGATGGTTCAGAAGGAAGAGCTGGGAAGCTGGGGACAGAAACACCACGGCGGGCAGGGAACAGCACCTGCTTCCTTGCTGGCTGCATGGAGAAGCCTTGTCGTGATAAGGCAAGGAGAGAAGTTCCCAACACAGGCTCCTGGCTGCCATTGCAGGTCCTGCTGCCATTGCAGGGGCCCAAAGACAGGATAAAGAGTACCTCTGCAGTCACCTAGGTGATCAGGTGACCGTGATCAATAAGCCCCCCAGGGACCTCTGCATCACCCAAGGGTAAGAGTGGGGTTCCCGAGAATATCTAGGGTTATGTGCTGAGTAGCATGGGGCTCACGATCCCATCAATGTGGCCTGAAGACCATACATGACTTTGATATCTCTCGTGTCTCTCTGAATTCATGAATCGGGACTTAGATCAGTTCCATAAAAATGAAGTTACTATTCACAAAGTATTTAATGTATGCTCAACATTCCATAAACTGCTTTGCATCTTATTTCATCTTTGAAATATCCTATGCAATGAGTTGTTATTCCAATTTTACAAATAAATAAGGTAAAATGGAAAGAAATTAAGTAACTTGTCCCAAGGATACAGAAACAATATATGTTCCTGAGCTGCTTGTATGACAATATAATCTCAAAGTTTTCAAAGTGTGCTTGGAAAACTTTGAATACAATGCACTTATTTCAGACCAGGCATTTCTTACATGGTAGTGTATTTTATTATGGTTTTAATGTAATAAAACCATAATATGGTTTTATTGTAATAAATGGTTTTAATGTAATAAATAAATGGTTTTAATGTAATAAAACCATAATTTCAATTTTGTGGGGCATTCTATGTGTTTACATATTTATTTAATTGTATCCCTAGCAATATTTTATTATATGGCTTTTTATGATTCTTATTGTAGTACTAGGTATTTGAACCCAGGGCCTTATTATTGAGTGATATTCTTGAGTATTCCTAGTTCTATTCATTTGTTTATTTATTTGTCTCTAAGACAGAGTCTCACTAAGTTGTTAAATTGGCCAGGCTGGGCTCAAACTTGTGATTCTCCTAACTCAGGCTCCCAGGGTACTAGGACTGCAGGTGAGTACTACCACGCCTGGAGTATGATGTACATTTTTATACCTATCAACTGTCTTTAGGTATCTTCTAACAGAACCTAGACTAGTACTAACTGATTAATATTATAAAATTAGAGAATAAAAAAAAGAAGGGTGTGCCAGGCGTGATGGTGCACACCTGTAATCCCAGCACTTGGGAGGCTGAGGGAGGTGGATCATTGAGAGTTTGAGACCAGGCTGGGCTACAAAGTGAGCTAAAGGCCAGCCTGAACTGTTTAATGAGACCCTGTCTCAAAAAGACCAAAAAAAAGAAAAAAAAAAAAAAGAAGAAGAAGAAGAAGGGCATGAGGGAGAAGGAAATAAATCTCTTGAGAATTTTTTGGTTCTGTTTTGATTGATCTAGAATTACATTCTGATCATAACATTCAAAGCCTTTTTTTGTCCCAAGCCTCATCCTCTACATAGTCACTGAATCATTTTTCACTGACTTTTTTTAGTACATGTGCTGCAAAAACAAG